AAACAGGCAATATAACAAAAATATTCTTCCCAGATGCTATAAAAGCATATAACATCATCAGAAAGGTTGACATGGATCATATGACGGTACAAGTCATGACAGGCCATGGGGGCTTCTCGGATTATTTGTATAGATTTAAGTGTAAGGAGAGCCCATCATGTGCCTGTGATACAACAAAAAATGAAGATATTATACATATCATAACGGAATGTCCCATATTTAGTAGAGAGAGAATGGACATAGAAATAGAGTTAGAAACAAAGATAAGCAAAGAAAATATTAATGAAATTATTAAAAATAAGCATAGCAGATATAAGTTTATAAAATATTGTAAACAATTAGCATATAGAATAGTAAATAAAAATAAATAGAATAAGAAAAGGGTACTGTAACATAATATATGTTAGTATACAATGTAAACAGTCCCACAAAATAAATAGCAATAAGAACTTAGACATAATGATAAGGTAAATATAAGCGTAAATGTAAATGAAATAAACTATGTAGCACTAAAATATAAAAAGACAAAAGAAAAGAATATAATGGGTGGAAAAAAGAAAACAACTAATGATAAACAAAGTCCCTGATCTCCCATGTCAGGGGAATTAGATGTAAAAAAAAAAAAAAAAAAAAAAAAAAAAAAAAAAAAAAAAAAAAAACCTAACCTAACCTAACCTAACCTAACCTAACCTAACCTAACCTAACCTAACCTAACCTTTTTTTTTTTGCATGGGGAAATGCCTACGCATACCCGCCTCGCGGGGGGCAAGGACGGGTTATGTCGGACTCGCTCCGACTAAAACCCCATGGTGTTCCACCTTTGTCGCATATTGGCAGGGCTACGGGAACGCTTTCGCACACATCCGCGGCCCTACTAGCGCCTGCCGCCCCATGGCAGCACCTCCTCGGGAGAGGAAAATTCCTCCCCGTTCTCCTTCCCAGGTAAGGCGCACCAGAACACATGGCGCGCCTTCCTCCACGGCCTCCAACTACGTCTGTGCAACAGACGCCCCCGCGTCCGATGCACAAAGGCCATGGGGCCAGGAAAAACGAGCACTTAGAAGTACTAGCCTTCCCGACCCCAGCGGCGGATCTGGTCTATGGCTCCGCCGCCAACCAAGATTCGGCTGCGGAGGGTAGGGAGAGCGGCGCCTCGCAATACCAACAATCCTCTCCCCCCGCAGCCCCACCACCACCGCATCAACGGTGCGGCCCCGTTTGAGTCGCGAAGGATAGGGCGAGTGGCGCATCGCCATACCAACACTCCTCTTCCTCCGCGACTCCACCTCGGCTGCAGCGGTAGAGGGTGCGCGAGTCCCCACTCGCTGCAGTCCACCAGAACACATCCAAAGTGGGCTTCCCAAGCCCACTCGGAGCGGCCACCTCAGGCCGGCCCTTCACCTCGGGCCAGCCACGTGGGTTCCTCTTTGTTCACCGTGGGTGACCAAGCCACGGCTACTAAGCCCCCCCGCCACGACAAGGCGGGAACCCGTTCGGGGGGGAACCTAACCTAACCTAACCTAACCTATCCTCATGGACTGTCTCTGCCTGGGGACAGGCGGAGGTGTGTGCCGGACTCTTACCGGCTAAAACCACCCCGGTGTCTCCTCGCACGTGCACGCGCGGGGCCGCGGGAATCCAAATTCTTCCGCAGCCCCACACTAGTGCTGGCCCGGTCTGTACGGGCCTCGTCTCCTGCACGGGGTAGTGAGGTGTTCAACTACCCCCTGTATCACCTCAGAGGCACGCGCCGACACCCACGCGTGCCTCCGCCTCGGGTCCATCGAATAGGGGGGCGGGGGCTTCCCCTAGTCCCTCGCCCCTGGACTTATTCATGGGGGCTGGAAAAGGGCGTTGTCCGCCCTTCTCCTGCGCCCGGTGCGCCTTCTGCGGCCAGGGAAGGGAGTCGAGATCTCCCTCTCCCGTTCCGCAGTTTCCTTCTGCGACATCACGTCCTCACAGAAGGACACCACTGCATCCCACGATTCTGCGCTACCGACCATACTCCGCACCAAGGCCGACAGCGACAAATCGCCTCCTACTTCATTTGTGAGGACACGGCGCTGCTCCTCTCAAGCTACACACTCGGCGAGCGTGTGTTGCGCCGTGTCCTCCCCGCAATGGACGCAGTGGTGGCACCGAGCGTCCGGCTCCCTGTCTATGCGGCACAGGTACTTGCCAAAGCAGCCGTGCCCCGACAGCACCTGCGTCACCCTAAACGACAGGGAGCCGTGCCTTCTCCCGAGCCAGTCGTCGAGTACTGGCCGGATCGCCTCGACGATAGCGAGGCCGGCGGTAGGGCGCAGAAGCCTTTGCCGCCATTCCGCCACCAAGACCTGACGGAGCTCCTCTCGGCGCAGCGCGATCTGTCGCTGCACCGGCCTCGAGCCCCGTCTCCGCTCTTCCTCGCGCCATCGACGCGAGACTCGGACTCGGAGACGCGGACTGCCTCTGCCTGGGGACAGGCGGAGGGGTGTGCCGGACTCTTACCGGCTAAAACCACCCCGGTGTCTCCTCGCACGTGCACGCGTGGGGCCGCGGGAATCCAAATTCTTCCGCAGTCCCACACTAGTGCTGGCCCGAACCTAACCTAATCTAACCTAACCCAGTTGCAACCAATCCGCGCCTGAATAAGCATCATTTTGCCCGTGCTCCGCAGTTAAAAATCGAAAAAAGTGGGTTATTGTGGTCCGATCTGGACAAGTGAAGTGTCGTCGGGTCGGGCTTTCTGAGACCTATACACTCAGCTTAGAAAATCAACCCGGACTGCTTAGGTTGACGCACAGAACCTGAAAAACTACCTTTTTTTGAGGTTAGTTTTTGAAAATTCATCTTAAAACGCATGCGGTGAACGATTTTGATGAGTGCCCCCTAAATATTTGACTGCCCTGAGTAGGGCCTTAACGGACTGCAACTTCTTGGCGCATCAGAAATATTTTTGGACCATGCATTTCGGAATTATTTCCAAAAAAATAAAAACCACGTGTTGCTGAAAACCTAGAACGGGAGCAGCCACCAGCCTGAAAATCTGCAACTAACAAGTAAGAGGAAGACAAGGAGAGAGCTTTTCATCCATTTATAGATTTTTATACTGTATAGTTTTAAAATTATTACTTTTTTAAAATTGAAACTTTAGGTATAAATTTCTCTCTAAGTATAGCGTTCGCGAAAAATTTGAAATTGCTATCTTTTGCGCGCTTGCTATAGTTACATAAAACCGTTTTTAAAATTTAATTTTATTTGCACAATTAAGCACCATAGTTAATTTTGTTAAAAAACACTATTTATGTGTTTTTTATAGTAAAAAATAAGTTATTATTATATATTAGTCTAGAACAAAATTAAGCCTAATTTCCTTCTAATTATAAGATTTTTTCCGGTTTTTTGCGATATCGGGTTTTAAAGATATGAAATTCTTTGCATTTTTCACTTAATATTAGTAAAATAATAGAAATTAATTAAATTTATCATAAGATTTAGTATTCTTGTACAGGAGACGTTTTGTTTGAGCCTAAACTCCACGCGAAAAATCCCAAAGTTGACGATTTTGGAAAAAATCCGTCAATTTGGTTTTTTTGGTTCTGTTCTTTGTTTCTTCATATCTCCGAAGATCCTGGTCGCAGAAAACCCGAATTTCAAACACAGGCTGGAGGAGTACATGGTCTACAATAATATTAAAATTTCAGGCGTTTTGAATGCTAAAAATTTCTCTGCCTTGAAACCACTTTCAGCATACAATTTAGGTCCAGCCGAGCTGTACATTCAAAACCCCGTTGTTGTGCGACTTTTAGTTTGGAAGTTACGGGCTTCCAAACATAGCATCTGACAGCTCGGCGGCCATATTGAAAATTTTTAAACAGCCAGAGCTTTGGTTTTAAGCGTCATAGAAACCTGCGGATTTCGGTATTGGCATCTGAAGACTGAGCTCTATCCACCTTCTCAATTTCAGGCTTTTTAGAGCTCATCTTTTTTAGGTCCTGAAAGTTATCTCATCGTAAATTCTGGAAAACGCTCAGCAAAATAGTCAAAGCGCGGGTCCTCTGCGATTGCTAGAAGTAAAGTTATTAGCAATCAAACTTCGAGTTTGACATTTCAGCGGCCATCTTGAAAAATTTAAAAGGCCTATATCTTTTGAACTGGTGGTCGTAGAGGACTGGGGTTTTGGTCCTAAACAACAGCAAAGAGTGCTGGAGTAGGTAATAAGCTTTCAGGAAATTTTAAGGTCAAAAAATTTTATGTCCTGAAAATTACATAACGTTATAGTATTCGTCGGGCCCATCAAAATGAGCCCAGGCACGGAGCTGTAGGCCCATTCGTACATGAGTTGCAGCGTTTTAACATGCATAAAATTGGCAGCCATCTTGATCGGTAACCAGAATTTTAGGGTGCTGTAGCTTCGGAACCTTTTGGGCTGGAGACACCGAGTTTGGTATCATTGAGTAGGGCTCGAGAGGCGCTCTTATTTGAATGTAAGAAATCGACTCTACGTAGAGCCAAAAGCCTGTTAGACTGTAACTACCGTTTTAAAAATATATTAAGAAAAATTTTTATAACAATAAATTAGACAGATATTTAGTCATAAAACTGGAATAGAATATATGGACTGACTCTAGATAGAGTCATTTATAAATAAAATAAAACTTATTTAGTTTTAAAATATTAGAGACGAATATATTAATGTATATTCATATAAACATATATAAGTAATTAAAGATTGTAAAAATAGTGACAATATTGCACGAAGTAGAGTTACGACTCTACAAAAAACAAAAAACCTATTAACAACGGAGACGGGGTATACAGTCTGGCATATAGAGAGCTCTCTTTTTTAGGAATATACTAAATTGTAAAATTTTTGCAATAATCTATACGAATTAGACCTTTCTATTATAAGAAAGAAAAAAAAAAGAAAAAAAAATCAAAACATGGCATCGAGACTAAAACTTGACAATACTGCGGGCTCATTGAAGCCCAAAACCGCTGTGACAACGGCCGGGGTAATGTCTACGGGAACATCAAGTAAACGGGTACCATCGACAACCGGAGGAAATACCTCCGTTTCACCCACGAAGTCGCGCACATCCGACATATCCTTAGCACACTCCAGCTTCTCTACACCAGGAAGCTCCCCTGCAAGCCTTTCAGCCAAGGCAAATCGGTTGTACCAAGAGGCCAAAACCCAAATGGAGCAGTCGGGAAATATAAAAACATCTATCAAGGAAACCGTGCTCAGTAATATCGCAGGGATGTATGAGATCATTCTCCGACTTAGTGAGTCAAGACAGACACTCCAGGTACAACTGGAGAAGTCTCAAGCAGAAAATGCAGCGACATTGTTAAAGCGCGAGTGGGAACATGCGGAGCAACTATCTGAAGCGAGGAAACATAGTCCATTTTCCTCAACTGCAGCGTCTCCGCCAATCGAGCTAATGAAGGAGCTTTAGAAAATTTACAAGACCATACAAAAACAGTTGTGGAATGCCAAAAACATACAATAACACTCACCGAACAACTTAAGCAACCTCCACAGAATAACATCTCGGAACGAACATATGCACAAGCAGTAGGTACTTCAAAACATCAACAGGTACACTCGGTTGTAGTAACGTCAGATGAGCCGAAGGACACTAGTGGTGAGGTTATTGATAAAATTAGAACGGCGGTAAATGCAAGACATGAGGGCATACAAATAGAGAGGATACGCAAAGCGAGAGATCAGAAGGTAATCGTAGGATGTAAATCCAAAGAAGAGCTGGCAAAAGTGACAGAGAGAATTAAGCACTCGGGAGGAAGCTTGCATGTCGAAGAGGTAAAAAATAAGGACCCTCTTATAATCCTTAAAGACGTATTAGCATACAATTCAGATGAAGATGTCGTGACTGCGCTCACAAATCAAAATAATCACCTAATAGGAGATATAAAAACAGAAGACCAGAGACTCGTCGTGAAATATCGACGTAAGACTAGAAATCCTCATGCAAACCATGTAATCATGCAAGTTTCCCCCCAAGTGTGGCAGCGACTAACAGCAGTGGGGCGAATGCACATTGACTTGCAGAGAGTTCGAGTGGCAGATCAGACACCACTAGTGCAGTGTTCACGTTGCCTAGGCTATGGTCACGGTCGAAGGTTCTGCAAAGAAACTGCTGACATCTGTAGCCATTGTGGTGGCCCGCATTTAAGAGCAGAATGTACAGAATGGCTTGCAGGAAACGCACCATCATGTCGAAACTGCCTTCACGCAAAACTAGATAGGAACGACCACAACGCTTTTGACTCCGAATGCCCAATTAAGAAAAGATGGGATACCCTGGCTCGATCGACGGTAGCGTATTGCTAAAGACGACTTAGACGCAAATAGCACTTCGCCGGATGCACAGACCCTCCAAACTCTACAAACGTATAGAGTCGTACAGGCCAACCTACAAAAGAAAAAGCTGGCAACAATGGAATTTATTATAGAGTCTGCCAAAGAAAGGATTTCTTTTGCGCTAATACAGGAACCCTACATAGGCTCCCAAGGAGTACTTAAAACACATGTTGGATCTCGTGTGGTTCAACGTAGTAACAACAGGACAAAACCTATAAAGGCGGCTATAGTAGTTTTCGACGAGAATGTGGAGATTATTGAAAGCCCCACATTGACGACAGAAAATATAGCAGTTGCTATATTAAAAACTAACGAATGGACCATGGGAGTCATATCGATCTACATGGAGGATTATTTGCCAATCGAACCCTACTTGGATAACGTAAAAACCATTGTTGGGTCTATAGGAACCAACAAAATACTGCTTGGAGGAGATGGAAACGCATGGAGTACATGGTGGGGAAGTGTGACAGAGGACCACAGAGGAGAGGCGCTATCAGGGGTTTTAGAAGAGCTAAACTTGCAAATTCTTAACATCGGTAATGAACCAACATTTGACACCATAAGAGGAGGGAAACATTATAAGAGTCATGTTGATATCACGGCATGCACATTGGAATTACTAGGAGCTGTAAATGACTGGAGAATAGACAATACTTTAACTAGCTCAGACCACAATGCGATCAGATTTAATATAAAATTAAAAAAACCAACACGAGATAGACAAAGAAGTACAACAAGAATATATAATACGAAAAAGGCGAATTGGCCTCTTTTTTAAAGAAGAATTGATGAATCAGCTAAAAGGAAGGAATATAGACAAAAATGAGGTTAGTAATATCAATACCAAAGAAGGGCTGGAACAAATGATAGAAAATTATATCGACGGAGTAAAGAACACGTGTAAAAAAACAATACCTCTTATTAAAATTAAGAACAAAACGAAAATAGCATGGTGGAATGAAGAACTAGAAAAATTGAAAAGAGAAATGAACACCAAAAAGAGAAGAATACAATGTGCTGCACCTAGCCGTAAAAGATGGGTAGTGGAGGAGTTCCTCCTAGCAAAATCAAAATATGAAGAAGAGACGATAAAAGCCCAAACAGAAAGCTGGAAGAACTTCTGTACAAAACAGGATAAAGAGAGTATGTGGGATAGTATTTATAGAATAATTGCAAAAACGAGTAAAAGATATGAAGACCAACCACTGGTAAGGAATGGAAAAGCCCTGAGTGTGGATGATTCAGTGAGATGGCTAACAGAGACATTCTTCCCAGACGATCGGGAAAATGATGATAACGCTGAACATCAGCTAACAAGATTAACGGCAAGCAAGTTGGACTCACTAGCCACTGACGAAATGGATCCGCCCTTCACTATGGCCAACTTAATTACGTGTTGAACAGTTTCAGTCCGAAAAAAGCGCCAGGGCCAGACGGTTTAACAGCGGATATCTGTTCGGTTGTAATATCCCAAGCGCCAGAAATCTTCCTGAGCATTGTAAACAAATGCCTACAACTGTCACACTTTCCTATACCCTGGAAACTATCAAGAGTCATAGTTATAAGAAAACCAGGCAAAGATAACTATACGGCCCCAAAATCTTATAGACCAATAGGTCTATTGTCAGTCATGGGTAAATTGCTTGAGAAAATTATCATAAGGAGGATTAGATGGCACCTTCTACCACTAACAAATCCTAGGCAGTATGGTTTCATCCCTCAACGCAGCACAGAGGATGCTTTGTATGACCTTTTAAAACATATAAAACAAAACTTAACTAATAAACTCATCAACGTAATAGTTTCGCTCGATATAGAAGGAGCGTTTGATAGCGCCTGGTGGCCGGCAATTCAGTGCCGACTAGCAGAGAAACGCTGTCCGCAAAATCTATTTCGTCTAGTAAATAGCTATTTAGAAGATAGGAGGGTTTGTGTAGGCTACGCGGGTGCTATTTGTTCAAAAAAAATGTCAAAAGGATGTATTCAAGGCTCTATTGGGGGCCCCACATTTTGGAATCTACTATTAGATCCCCTGTTGGATGGGTTAGAGAAACGTGGAGTACATTGTCAAGCGTTTGCCGACGATGTTGTCCTGATATTCTCCGGAGGAACTACCTCAGTAATACAAGAAAAAGCCAATAACGCCCTGGCTTATGTATATGAATGGGGAATCAGAAATAAACTCAAATTCGCACCACATAAAACAAGTGCTATGATTATAACAAAAAAGCTTAAATATGAGGCCCCACATATACAAATGGGAGGAACTGTGATAAGTTTAGTGGAAGAAATGAAACTACTCGGACTCACAATAGACCACAAATTGACCTTCCAGAGACATGTGCAACTTGTCTGTCGAAAAGCCGCAAACATCTACAAGCAACTTGCTCGAACGGCTAAAATCGAGTGGGGTCTTAATCCGGGGATTATCAGGACAATATATGTAGCAGTGATAGAACCGATTATCCTGTATGCGGCTAGCACGTGGGCTACTGCAGCAGAAAAAATTAGCATTCAAAAACAGCTGAATGTAATCCAGAGAGGATTTGCGCAAAAAATGTGTAAGACTTATCGCACAGTCTCCCTAAATGCCGCAATGCTCCTAGCAAGATTGCTTCCTCTAGATCTTCGGGTCCAAGAAGCAGCTTCTCTTTATGAAGCAAAGAGAGGTAAACCTCAGGAGAGAATAGGTTGTAGGAAGATAGAAAGTAGAGTCTGCTTCCTAAAGGCACAACATCCAGCCAAGGAAGTGGAAGTCACATTCGAATGCCTGGAAGATACTAAGCCTGAAACACTCAGAAAATTCAACATAATGGGTGATCAAATTTACACAGACGGGAGCAAAATTGAAGGAAAAGTTGGAGCAGGATTATCCTGCTGGCATAATAACACCGAGATAAAAGCCAAAAAATTTAAGTTGGAACCGTTCTGCACCGTCTTTCAGGCTGAACTTTATGCTATCTTTCAGGCGACAAAACTTGCACTGGAACATGAAGCAACAACAACAAACGTGTTCAGCGACTCTAGATCAGCTCTGGAACTAGTACGTAATAGAGACTCATACCATCCCCTAGTAATAGCTATTAAGGAAAAACATCATGCTTGTGAAGGAACAGAATAAAACTATCCGCTTGTTCTGGATTAGAGCCCACGTGGGAGTCAAGGGAAACGAGCGAGCTGATCAACTTGCAAAAGAGGCTGCTTTATACAAGAAAACTGCGCCCGACTACGATAAATGTCCCATCTCCTATATAAAACGACAAATCCGGCTAGACAGTATGGAAAAATGGAAAAATCGATACATGACAGCGAACACTGCCACAGTAACAAAAATGTTTTTGCCAGATATAGAGCGGGCGTACAGAATATTGCAAAAGTTAGAATTAAGTCCAATTTTAGTACAGGTACTTACCGGTCACGGGGGTTTCTCAAGCTACCTCTATAGATTTAAATGTAAAAATTCCCCGGAATGTGTTTGTGATAGTCAAAAAGAAGAAAGTGTGGAACATTTAATATTAGAATGTCCTAAATACTCACAAGAAAGAATAAAATTAGAGATGGTTACGAATATGCAAATAAGAAAAGAATATATTAGTAAATTTTTAGAATGTAAGAAGCATAGAAATAGGTTTATAACATACTGCATAGACATAGCAAAAGATGTAATAAATAGAAATAAGACTAAGTAAAAAGTATATGATAATATATACTGTGTTATATATTTAGAATATACTAGCTAATTAGAGAAATAAAAACAAAAGGTAAAACTGTGTGAAAATTAACTTAGCAATATAGATTATAACTATAAATGTAGCAAATACACTAATAAAACAAAAAACAACAAATCATAAAGCAGACCACACAAACACGTACAAATAAAAAACAAAAACACAGGATATTGTAAGATACTTACGATCTTCACACCATCCAACAGATTAAGAGCTAAAAAAAAAAGCGTCGAAGCTCGTACATAGTTGAGCAAAGTCTCCGACCTGTGTTGGAGGACACCTTAGCGGTGCACACATAAAAAAAAAACCTAACCTAACCTTTTTTTTTAACATGGGGAAATGC